ATTCTCTGCAAGCGGCATGACGAACGTCCTCAGAGAATGCTATACCTTGGCTGGACGGTAGCTCTTTTCACCTTGGCTACCATCACGAATGCCTGTGAGGCTTGGTCGATAATTCAGCAACAACGCATATATTTTGAGGCTGTTCGCAACAAGGCGTACGACGAACTGCTCCAGTATCTGTTTGGAACTACACTGAAAACTGTTCCTAAGTACGTGAGAGCTCTCTTCACATGCACAGACCGTATCTGATACTTCGTTTCCCTTCAGCACGTTATTGAATATCGGGTCGAATGTGATAAAGTCAGTGACATCGGAATCTCGGCTGTACGTTACACTAATTAGCAGCTATACGTTTTAGCTTTGTCGCAGATACCATGCTTGTGAGCCATTTACTCCTAGTCGGAGCGCGATAAACTACATTGTCTTAGATTCACCGATGCTGGATCATCTGGGGCTCAAGAAAGCGTGTAGCCTTCCCGCTGATAATCATGTCACTCGGCACGAATGGTGAGTATTATCTGTCATCTATGAGCTCACAGATTTAACCATGATTGATAGTATTGGGACTTGTCAGTTACATCATGTGGAGTATTGGAGTGGGTGACACGACCGTGGACTCAAACAGGGTCTTGCTCGATAAGGCCAACACTTTGAATCTCGGCTACTCTATTGCAAATGTTATTGTTAACTCTATCATCACGTTGACGACAGGCAAGTGGCTTTGAATCACCTAGTTTTCCGAGCTGACGACCAGACAGCTGGGGGGATATGGTGGATCAGCCGACAGGCCCGTAAGGAGATGGGTCGGACGATTGACCAGAAATACAAGACCATTGTCGCTATTATGTGAGTTGAACAAATATAGGACCGATACGTCGAAGGTTTATCACGAAGACCTTTCTAGCCTTGAATCTGGGGTGTTGTACCCTCTTGCAATCATCGTCCAGGTCACCGTTGGGTACACAGTTGATCCTGATGCATCTGGTGCCGTTCCGGTGGATCTTGGTCCTGTCGTCTGGCAAGCTGCGGTAGGTCCGCGTTTTGTATTGTCCGCGAAAGACCTCATTCGTATCTAGGGGATCGCGCCAACACTCATCATCGTTCGCGCTGCAATGGGGAAGTCCGTAGACAGTGTTCATCAACAAGTCTCGACGCTGCGGTTTGCGGCAGGTGCTCAGGATGCACAGGCGTCTCAGTTGTGTACCATAAATTTTGGAGAGGACTTTCCGGAGGTGGATCGTGGATCAGGATTGGGGCCTTCTCGACAGACGCAAAGCGCCGTAGAGGTGGAAAAAGTAGCTTGATCTCTTAAAGAAATACACACTGCGTAAACACGGAATATCCTTACATGTATCTTTATATGTGATCAGTAGAGAATTGTCAAATAAACGAGATACTCTCACTGATACGTCCTTATTACAAGATTGACACTGGCAAACAGGCGACACCATCTTGATGACTCGTTCGATATATTGAGAGCGGTAGCCAATGCTAAGAACATGATTACATCGCATTTGAGCTTCCTGTGTGAGCTCAATATCGTCGTAATTCCGAAGACTGTGAGGAAGCTGCCCGAGCACGAAATCAGCGTCGCTACCACAAATTAGAATCATGTGAATCACTAGAGCCAGTTTACCATCAAACTTTTATGAATTCTCGCCATAAATCTACAAAGAACGCCACCTACTCATAGCAAGGTCAGAGCTCAGACGTTGAGTAGCCCACATGAAATAATGACGCACTATCAACGTGTTTGAAGGCACGGGTACAGCTATCTGTGTTAGCAGAAATGGTGCAGCGACCTCTGGCTCTGGTTGGCCCACGGTGTTCGACAGATTGATTTGCCCACGTCGGATCTTTAGGGCAGGCTGATCAACGGATATAAGTAAAACTGGCGTGTGACTAAACTACCACGAGACCACGAGGTGCGATAAGCCACTGCAGGGTAATATCTATCTATCTATCAATCATTGATCTCAGGCCATCTCGCAGCTGATGACTATCGATATTTTCAGCGTCTGAGTTCTGGAGTTATCTCTTTCGTTTTTCGTTTCAGAGCCTGTTGGGTGGGGTTTTGTTGGATCCGAGAGCAGCGACCAAAGCCCCCGTGTATGTTTTCGACTCATAAGTCACGGTACTAACACTGCTTTGCATATCAAGGAACTTTCCGAGTCTGTCACTGTGAAACAGAGAGATCTGTCCGTCTACTACCTATGCTTTGCGTACAGTATATTTCTCCACCGACAATCGGACCCTGACTGTTCCGGTATCATGATGAGGGTTCCTAATTAGGATCACCGACGCCGCATAAAGACAGAGTTCCACACAATGTTTCCTATCTTACCCCACATTTCAAGCACCTAACAGCAGATATCATTATGTCTCAGAATGACTTGCAATTGGGTGACACATACGGCGCGCTCCTAGTCGCAGCCATGATTTCATCTTGGTCTGTACTGTGTCTCTCCCTTCTTCGCATATTCGAATTCATCTTCCTCTGTAGCCTTTATGGCGTAACATGCCTTCAATCTTGGTCCTACTTTCGGAACTACAACGACCGTGGTCTGCTTCGAGCCATGGTGAGGCTCGCTTTCCCGTATCATGACTCGTTAGACTCTGACAATTCTCACATCTTAGGTTCTATCCCTCATGTGAGCCCTCGGTAGTTCGCGCTTCCTCACACACTCACGGGAATCCCTATATTTCTAGTACGCTCGGGACAGCACACGAGATACTGAGCATCTATTTGATTTATTATTACTTGATCCTACATTTCGGTGATCCGACTGCATTAACGAGTTTTATCTGGTGAGGATTTAACCTGATCTTCCGAATCAATTCTACCACAACCCTAATACGTCCCGCGCAAACTTCCTAGGGCTGGCATCGTAAGTGATCTGCAGCATATTTCAATGCATCACACAAAACCAACATCTCACATATTTTGGCAGGCAATCATACCAATGACAGTATGCTGTTTTGAAGCTCCTGCGTGTGTTCCTGTAACTGACTTGTTGGTCCGAAGACTGCTGTGGCTCTGATTGTGCACATGTTCTACGGGATGCAAATCTATCAACGTGAGTTCCTCGTCGATAAGGTCCACTTTGATAGTACCGCTGACATCATCGACACCATCAAGTTAGCGCGAAGAGGGATTACAGAACACCAATTGTGTTGGTACGCCACTGCTTCTGGTTAAGCCGCGAATCGAATCTTATCACCGTATCTAGTGCGTGATTAAGCTTGCCGAAATTGGTACTGTACAGTCCTTCCGAGTCAGCTCGTAAATTATCACTGACCATATTACAGGGCTGTCAATAGGTGATTCGCTCCCTTGAACCCCAGCAAGAAAGCTAACCCAACTGGACTAACCACTATCCAGCCAACGCAGTCAACATGTACGCCTCCTTTCAACTCCTTTCATATCACACAATTTGAATCTCGTCACATCATCACAATCAAGGAACGAACGAAAAGCGTTTGCAGACTTTCTCGGAGATCAGGCGTCCGCGGTGAGCTGGTTTCCTTGTTCAAATCCTAACGTGCCAATGTTCTCTGCATCCAGAAACTGATAATCGCCACACTCTCGCTGGTTGCGGCGAGTGATGTACTATGTACCTGTGCATTATCGTATCATCTCCATGTACTACGTTCAGGACTCAGGAGGTGCGTGGATATATGCGCATTGTGCACCGCATCCCATGTTAACTCTACGCTTTGTTCCAGCACAGACTCCCTTGTCAACAGGCTTATAATCTACACAGTCAATAACGGGGCGCTGACGAGGTAAGTCGGCCTTGAACCTTTTACAATGATTATTCCAGCTGACCGGGCCTTGTAGTATTACTAGTATCATTATCATACTATTCGTACGTTTCTCTCCACCAGCTACGGGCTTACATCCGATATCCTAACTGAACTTCACGGTTAGCTCACGTTGCAACCCGATAATCTCATATATGCTTCAGTTTATCTGAACCTGGCGAATTGTACGTCAACCGAGTTCTGCTGTTCTGACCTGTTAATGGAATCGTTTATCGTAGTATATTCCGGTTCGCTCTTATCGACGTACGTTTTTGGACCTTGGGCTATCAATTCGAAGCCTGAAAACTTACCACTTTCCGTTAGACTCAACTCACGAAAAGCACACCATCGACATATCACTATCGACACCATGGAGCTTGGAACAATTCGGTGGGAAAACACGAACAGGATCCCTGGTGGCGAGTCTCAGTCCACAGGAATTATCGAATTACCTGCCAGTGACATGCCGGATGTCAAAGTATGATTGATGGTATTGCGCGTGAATATACTATAGTGAACGACTGACCTTGAGGCCTAGGTTTTCAGGGAAAAGGGAAGTGCTCGGTGATATTGCTACCGTATTAGAAAGCTGGAAGTCGGTGTATGATTCTAAACGTTTTACATTCCGGACAATGCTCATATGGTTCCTGATATTGAGTCGGAAATAATTATAAATACGATATGTGAGCGTCGGCAAATAGGAATCACCGCAAAGCATATATCTAGCTTTGAAATTTGAATGTTGTACGATGGATCCGAACTAGGACACTGCCCTCGAAATCACGAAGCTCCTACATAGTAGGAGATTTGCTGTTGTCGTAACTGGTACTTATATGGGAAAGTGACGTTTCGGTTCCGGGACTAGGAAGTAGATCGGTGGCTGTAATCTCCATCTGGACCGACAATGTTGAACCATCAGCCCAGGTTCCATATTCGCGTTTTTTCACTTGTAGATAAACAACCATGGCCACTGCCATCATGTTCACCATTGGGTTCTAAAATTGAATTTGAGTCGGGGCAGTCTCGGTATCCGACAACGAGGCATCATTACATCAGACGCAGGTAAACTGGTAGAGTTTGATAGTGCTAACACGGTGGACCAGCTGAGAGCAGCGCTTACTTTTCCGTGTCAACCAAGCGAAATCGGAAGAGGGCTACTTGAAAGAAGAGACCAAAAAACTGGAGCGCCTACCTAGTTCCGTTAAAGGGAATCGAACCCTGGGCTATCGCGCTTCTCTGAACTGTATGAAGATGATTAGTGAGAGGCGATAATGTTAGCCACTACACCATAACGGAGTATGTCTTGCACTGTTCCCTTCTTGATGTATTCCCCACGCTCCGAGAAGAGAAATACTAAAGGAAGCGTAAGTAAAACGTCCTTTGCATTTCTCAATCCCTCGACCCACTCCCTTCCCCTTCCCCAACACTTCCCACACCTCCACCTTTCTCCTTCCTACCTCCAAACGCCGCGGAACCCCCGGCAAAATCGACTTATAAGTAGGCGGAATCTCATCCTTCGCAGGCCCTGCATCTATATGCACCAGCAATCCTTCCGCAAGGTACGCACAGTGTTGTTCGCCGAGTTATTCCTCCGGATTAGTCATAGGCAGGCGCTGTTCTTGGGCGTGCGAAGTCGATCCGTATGTCTGAGAGTATCGGGATTGGGGGTCGGATGGTGTCAGGATCAATAACCTCCTCCTATTGCCGTTTGCCTTCAGGTGAGAATAATGTTGGAAGACAGGCATACCACCTGCAAAACCCTATACGCTTGCCTGCCTACACCGCTGGAGTGCGACGAGCTCACCACGCTAGGTGCGGTAGTGGGTACAGAAGGCACAGGCGACGGATGATGCCAATCTCCGTAGTGGCTGTCAGGCGACTTAGGTGATTGAGGAGGTCCGTATGGGTTCTGGAACGTTGTTTGGCTGGGTTGTGTGAATGTCCGTGTCCTGAAGCGAACAAAGGATATGGGGACGACGCCCCGCCTAAAGACGTGGCATTGAGTCGACCACCCATCACGTGGTCTTCGGTGTCGATGATTTTGAGGTAGTGTTGGTGCACCTGGTGGGTCTCATCGGTCTATTGCTCGTTAGCATCAAACAGAAAGAAGAAAAAAGAGGAAGAAAGGAAACACGCACCCAAAGCGCCCCCGCTGCTAGGTCTTTAACTCATCCCCTCTCCTACACTTTTCACCTCATACATCTATCAGAATTCTTCCCATCGAATTTCTCTGTCTCCAGCGTTTGTAACCCCCACACAGCTAAGTAACGCGACGATTGGGATACCAGCGACACCGCCTACGACTCCATGTGTGGCACGTGTGTTATCCGAGCTACAGATGGATGAGAAGACGAGGCTCCCTGGGAGTAGAGTGGTATTGAATTCAAAGACTGTTTGAGATTGACCATTTGGTGCGGTGATGCTGGCAGTGTGCAAGTTTGCGAACACCCAATGAGTATGCCGAAGGTGACAGCATCGACCACGAGTCTAGAGCCTAGGCCCTTTCCCACCTTTCTCGGTTCCTCCATGATCCCTTACACATCTTCACCAGACATGAGTTCGTACCTCCACGCTTTCAGGAACCTACGATAGATGCCGCCAAGTTGAGTCCACCCACCCCTCGTTACTCGGAGTCGCAATTTCTCCCCATGGTAAGTTATAGGTCTCATCTTTCTTTTGCGGAACACTGATTTGGTCATTCCAGTTTGTGTTACAAGGCTTATCAAGCGACAATATGATGACTGTACAATCAATCACCTTTCAACGCCATGGCACGCTAGCTTAAGCCCTTGTTCACATCCCAATTCTACATCTTATCGGGCTTTTCGGGTATCGACAACGAGAAACGTCGGTACTCTACCGAGTCGGAGGAATGTGGATGTATTGCAGGCTGTGTGGCTCGTCCCATTACCAACTCAACGATTTTGGCCTCGAAATTTGCGTGCTGGAACCTGGGATACATCTCCGAATGCTGTTCCGAAGATAGGTTGAGTTGCTCAGCGTGTATCAGCGTTAGCTATGATCTCCGGGGAATACATTCCAATGGGGCGGTATTTTGTAATCACCACAGTCGCATAAAAGCCCCATAACTACACACCAAATAGTTCGTCTACTTTTTTCCCTGGAAGACTTGTAGCTGAAACGTCCGAGATGTCCGCTCCTGTATATGGCTCTCCTATTGACCTAGGAAATACATTCGGAGCTTTTCTAGTGGCAGTCATTATCTCATCCAGGTATGTATTGAGCTGCCACTAATCATGATCCACCTTAGTGATCATACTCAACAGTCTATACGGCATTACATGCCTTCAAGCGTGGTCTTATTTGCGTAACTCCCCAGGTCGGGCTTTAATCCGGATTGCGGTATGTACTGCCGCATCACTTGTCCCCTTGGCTGGCACCACATACTTACTAATGACCTCTTTGAATTATATCAGGTTTTATCGCTCATGTTCGTTCCTTTGTTCATTGATATAATACGCGCTGACACCTGTCTACAGCTTACTCGGAACGCTGCACGAGATATTCAGCATTCACGCAATATATCATTATCTGGTCGTGAATTACGACAACCCGACTGCTCTGGTACGATTCAACTGGTTAGTTGAGTACCGCTTTGATTGTCTGCACTTTCCTAATGTTGGCTTTGCAGGAGTGCCATCGTATGTTCATAACGATTCATCTTTTCGTATCGAGATTGAAGAGACGAACTATAGGCGATAATCCCGGTCACAGTAGGTAGTTCTCCCTGAGCCCCTCTGGATAATCGTCGTAGTGATGTGATAACTAATAGGCTACCATTGCACTCATCGTACATTCGTTCTATGTCGTACGAATTTATCAACGTATGGGTCAAGCTATCATCATCCACGAGCCAGCAATTCGATGGCTAACATCTTGCAGTCAGTTTGAAAAAGGACCTCGTAACACCGGCTATAGTGGTTTGTTGCTACCTTTATTTGTCACTGGACATTAGAGGCTATCTTATTGACTTTCAGTGTGTCGTCAAGATCGCCGAAATCAGTATGTGATAGTCCCAAATCCTGATCTTGTTTTGAAAATGCGACTAACAATGCGTATTTCAACACTAAATCACAGCACTAATCATAAGTAGGTTCTCTCAAACCATTCCACTCTCCAGGAAACTGATGTTATCCGCTCAATAGTTGATGCAATTAACTTGTACGTATCAGCCCAATGCAGTTATCTCAACGTTTCTCATCACAGTACAGGGCGCAACTACAAGCTTTTGAAGACCTCGAAGAGGATCGAAGGATGATAGTAAGTCACTAAAGCATAATAATGTGTCCCCTGAATGCTCCACTAACACAAAATACCCAGAGAATGTCAATCGCCAAATTCTCTCTGGTAGTAGCCAACGACCTAATATGCACCGTGGCGATATCATACTATCTACATATCCTCCGTTCTGGTTTCAAAAGGTACCGGTGCATTCTCCCTCGACTTCTGCAATGGGCCTGATTTTTCTCTCAGCACGGATAGCCTCATCAACAAACTTATAATTTATACCGTTAACAATGGTGCATTGACAAGGCAGGTCTTGACTCTTCTCCGTTACTGGAAATCTGAATCTAACACGTATACTGGCACTTAGTGTTGCTAGCATTGTAATAATGATATTCGTTCGTTCCTCGCCTTCAAATGTATTTTGGTGGTCCTAACTCTGCTCCTAGCTCAGTATCCAGCCCGGTAACCTCATCTATTCCTCGATATACATCGTTCTTGGAAACTGTACGTACATCGATTCACCCTCTAGATTTAATCCACAAACCATAACCCATACTCTTGGCAGTATACTCCAGCTCGCTGTTATCGACGTTAGTCCATCAATTATCTACTCCCGGGCCACTTGACCGAGTGATTACAACAGACTCAACTCAGGAAAATCAGCTGCACCGACGCATATAACTGTCAACACTATAGAGTTTGGGGTTGGGACTGTCTCGTTGGAGGCGGTTGCTGTAAAGGTGCGTTAGCTCTGCGAGCTGTTTTGTTTCATGTTCGCTGAAGTTGTCGTGTACAAGACTGTCCATAGTAGCATACAAGAGCGGCGAGACGTGAGTCATTAGAGGACTCGGGAAGGGGATCAAATCGCGCGGTAATGAATGCATTTTACTTAAGCCATCGAGTTTCCTCACTGTGGGTAGGACCTGGTCTGCCGGCGAATATCAGAAATTTGCTGGATTTATCGTAGAGGCCGGACCGACTGCCATCTCGGTTTTGCATACAATCCAACATCAAACTTTTGACTTTCAGTGATCAAAAGCGTGACCGCACCCGCAAACCGGACCCCATTTAACAAATCTGAGGGTTCCCGGTTGAAGCATTGGTATTATGAGCACTGTGCACCATCTCTGTGACGCGTCTGCGTCAACTTCACCACACACGGCTGTGTACGACCTGTGTATATTCGAACAACCGGAGAGAGCTACGAGCTAAGCCGACGCGGGCGATATGGTGCTGTACCTACCATAGCACCATTGTAACGGCTATCAGTCATAGTAGGCGACTGAGGTGGCGAGCCTTATGAGCTCGGGAAGGACCTTTGGTATGGGTGTGGCGAATGTCCGCGTGCTGGGGTATTTCGATTGATTCGGACGGCCTGTAACCGGTGACTTTGCCCTCCGAATTTCGAGGTTCGTATAGGGCGCTGGCGGTCGCAGACCGCCAAAAGTTTTCGATTTGGCGCCTGTATGGGGATACAACACCACCTATAGATGTAGCGTTAAACCCACCCTCTCGATGGGTAGTTAGGGGAGGATGGTTCTGGAAGCGTCCCTAATTTCGTGCATGTACAGCTTCCTTGTACTCCCTGGATCTGGAGCTCAGAAACGATGTAATGTGTCGTTGCTATTGCCCGCCAGTGTGATATCCGCGATCATCTTCTGTCAATGAGCTGTTGAGTGTTCTCCCCCATTAACGCCGTTGTTATTGTGCGTTATTTGGGTACGGCATATACCATATTGCCGTGTAGATCGGGACTTTGGACCCAAGAGGTATCTAGCTCGCTTTGCTTGCCGGGATTCATTCAGCTTTCCCTTATTTCTGTCGCCAGTTGATTATCTCAGGCTTCCCGAGTCGGAATCTCTGGAACGGGGGTTTTGCGAATCCTTGGCGTAAAATGGCCATGCTCTGTGGCCAGTGCTGTGAGTTATATGGAATGCCACGGAAGGTATTTGGAGATCAAGATAGGAAACGCGGTGTAGAAGGTGATGCCGCATATACTCCATTCATACCCCAACGACAGATCATTAGATCGTGATGGTTCGGCTGGA